AGCGTGACACTAGTGGTGGTTATGCTGATGGATGTCGTAGTGGTACTGATGGCAATGGTGGTGGTGGTGGTGATGGTGGTGATGGTGGTGGTGGTGGTGGTGGTGGTGGTGGTGGTGGTGGTGGTGGTGACTGTGAGGGATGGACAACGCGTGTTTTATTTTTATTACTGCGCTTACAGACGACTCTTTCTATAACAGATCGTACGAAGTGGAGACCTAGCCCGAAAATAGCCTCAATTCCAACAGGACAACAGTAGTATATTACGACCAAGCATTTAAAATCGAATGCGATGTCGATTGACTAACTAGAAAATTTCCAGTTTTTTGAGTGTTCTGCTTTAGCATCGATTGGAGGCTGCAGCTGTAGCCTCTACTGGCCACTGCCCTTTCCACAAGAGCAAACATGGAACTGACCGTACGTAAACTCCTCTCCTTTTTCTAGAAAGATGACTTTTTGTGAGGCCTATTTTCGAATGGAAGGAAGCTTCATCAGTACTCCTCCATGTCGATCCACCATGCTCTGGAATTTGGTCCGTAAACGAGCCACACTTCATAGCACTCTTTCTACAGAGCAGACGGGTTGATCTAGGTGGTCAAGTCGGCGCGCACGTTTGAAGTAAATCACATCAGAGTTCTCTTCAAGGCAATAATGGAAACAGCTAACGTTCTTCCATATGAGATATCCCCCCCCCTCCACAGCACATCAAGCTTACTTGCCGTCCATTGGACTCTGTCGGTAGGTGAGTCATACTGGTAATTGCACGTATGGCCAGTCACGAGGAGACCTGCAACCCGTCAAATCAGTGAAAACGCGCCTTTGTGCAATTGGAAGTCGTTGATACTCTATTTTCACTGGCTGACTCCTGGCAAGATTTCCTAGCCAGTCCGGGACAGCTGCTAGGCACCAGTTAGGACAAGGTCTTGTCTGGATACTGGATTTCAATGAAGCCATTAATTATTTATCACATCCTAACGCGGCAGGAAAATGGCTTCCGGGAAGGTGACTTTAAAGTCATCAATAAACTTGTCCAACATGTCATTAACACTTTCAGCACTCCGTAAGCCCTCACTAGCTGCAGTTATTATCACCTGGACGTCCCTCTGTCCTGGATTATAGTTCCACTTCCCCTTCACAAAATGTACCAGACCCTGGGGACATATACAGTAGGTGGGCTAACTCATGAAATGCCAACCAAAATTACGATATGCGTTTTCGTTTCGAAAAGATTAATTAAGTAGGATTGCAAAACTAGTCAGCCTGCAACATAATTCTATAGCATTTCAGTTACCGCAGGATGCCGGCTTTAGAATGAACTTCTTTCCGGCTGCATGCAAAAACAACACTCAGTAAAAAATCAGCATGCGTTTTTCTCGTTGACTTTCGATGCTCCTAAAAGTTCAATTATATTTCGTGGAAAACATGCGTAAAAATATCCATTCTTTCTCTTATTCCAATTTTATATTCGAAGGAGGGATATAATTCGGTTTTCAAAAGGTTTCCAATTGTGGGACTTTTGAATACCGTGAAATGACCGTTCATAAAACATTATGTCTCTGCATTTACCAATGTGGTTGGTAAAGTTAACAATATGGTTCAAATCCTCTGCTAAATTTTATGAACCCTATATGGTCTCCCTTTATTACCGTAGATAAATGTATGGTTTTCCGTACGCGGAAGATATACGGCTTGTAATTTGGAGGCCCAGAATCCAAATGTAACGGTAGAGCGAGTTCAAAATTATTCGGGAATAAGAAAAGTTTTTGAAAACCGAATTATACCCTTCCTTCGAGTATAAGATTGGAAGAGGACGTAAGTTTCTGCCGAATTATCAAAAGAATGAATATTTTTGTGCATGTTTTCCATAAAATATAATTGGACTTTTGGAGGCATCGAAAATCAATGAGAAAAATGCATGCAACTTGGGTAGTCATTTTTTCCGAAGGTGGTTTTTGCATGTAGCCGGAAAAAATTCGTTCGAAAGCCGGCATCGCGAGATAACGGAATTGTTAGAGAATTATGTTGCAGGCTGACTAGTTTTACAGCCCTACTTAATTAACCGTTTCAAATCGAAAACGCATTTCGGAATTTCAGTTGACATTTCATGAGTTAGCACGCCGAATGTAAACGTCCCCTAGGACCGTAAGACGACTTTAATGACTGAATGCGCAGGTACGACGAGTGCCTCGCACACCTGAATAGCACTGTCCCTTCCATCTACTAAGTAATTTTGCGCAGATACGGTCGGAAATCTGCGATCAGGTAGAATTTTATTCGGGTCCGGGTTTCTTAGCGTTATTTCTTTGATTGGTTGTTCAACTTGCAAGGTGGGTACAGTGAGCATTTATTGACCCTACGCACCCGTGTTTTCACCAATGAACTTCTTTTCGGGTGCACGCAGAAACCACACTTTGCAAAAAATGATTACCCAAGTACCATGAATTTTTATCATTGATTTTCGATGCCCCTAAATGTCCAATTATATTTCATGGAAAACGTGCATAACAATATTCATTCTTTTTCTCATTCGGTAGAAAATTACGTCTTCTTCTAATTTTATACTCGAAGGAAGGATATAATTCGGTTTTCAAAAACGTTTCCAATTCCCGAATAATTCTGAACCCCACCTGCCGTTTCACTTGAATTCAGGGTTTCCAAACACAGGCCGTCTATTTTCCGCGTACGGAAAACCATGCATTTCTCTACGGTAATAACAGGGGACCATATAGTGCTCATAAAATTTTGCAATGGATTTGATCCATATTGTTAACTTTACAAGCCACATTGGTAAATGGAGAGATATGACGATTTATGAACGGCCATTTCACGGTACCGAATTATGTCCCTCCTCTGAGTATAAAATTAGAAGAAGACGTAATTGTCTACCGAATGCGTAAAAGATTGAATTTATTTATGCAGGTTTTCTAAGAAATATAATTAGACTTTTAGGGACATCGAAAATCAATGAGAAAAATTCATGCTACATATGGATCAAATCCGCTGCTAAATTTTATGAACCCTGCATGGTCCCCTTTTATTACCGTAGAGAAATGTGTGGTTTTCCGTACGCGGAAAATATACGGCTTGTAGTTTGGCAATCCTGAATGCAAGTGTAACGGCAGATTGTGTTCAAAATTATTCGGGAATTGGAAGCGTTTCTGACAACCAAATTATACCCTTCCTTCGAGTACAAAATTAGAAGAAGACGCAATTGAATACCGAATGAGCAAAAGAATGAATAATTTCATGCATGTTTTCCATGGAATATAATTGGGCTTTTAGGGCTATCGAAAATCAATGAGAAAAATTTATGTTACATAAGTAGTCATTTTTCACAGTGTGTAGTTTTTGCATGCAGCCGGAGGGAAGTTCATCCGAAAGCCGGCATTCTGCGGTAACTGAAACACTATAGAATTATGTTTCAGGCTGACTAGTTTTACAACACTACGTAGTTCATCTTTTTGAAAGAAAAACGCATTTCGGAATTTCGGTTGACATTTCATGAGTTAGCCCACCTACCGTATACGTCCCCTAGGACCGTAAGACGACTTTTGTGACTGAATGCGCAATTTCGACAAGTGTCTTGCACACCTGAGTAGCAGTGTTCTTTCCATTTTGCTCAGATACGATCGGGAGTCTGCGATCAGGTAGGAGTTCGCTCGCGTCCGCGTTTCTTTGAGTTATTTCTCTGATTGGCTCTTCAGCTTGCAAGGTGGGTAAAGTGAGCACTAATTATCGCACACACCCGTGGTTTAACCAATACTTGAGGTTTTATACAATTCTTTCGACCGATTAATATTCGTAAGCGCTTGCTACCTTTGGTTGCCCTCAGTTTTCCCTAATGCATGTGGAGTGTTCCGTAGGAGAACATACTGACGAAGAGTATGGAGGCTGGGATGCCTATTTCGGACTCATTAGGCCTGCTCTGTCTGGGATCCAAACCGCGAATCCTTGGTCATTGAGTCAAGGGCTCTTTGTCCCATCGATCGTGGTCGGCAATGTTAACTATGGCGGAGGGGTCGCCCACCGATCTGGGTTACGGAACATACTCGTTCCAACGCGCCTTGGGGCTCAATCTAGAGCCCTCGCAGGCCTAGCATTTCCCATAAACCTGGTCGGTGAACGTCTGTCGAAATGGAGATCTGACACGAGAGTTCCCAATGTTCGACAACACGAACATTCCCAAATCACTAGTCAGGGAAGACGGATTTGTTTGGACAAGCTTGACTAATGTGGAAAGTGTACCGGAGGCTCGGCGAGAAGTTGCCGCAAGCCGTCTCTTCAAGCGTGCTGTTTTTTTTTCGTGTCCCTTGTTTAGGTTCTTTGTCCCCCAGTGAGTGTGGGTCTGAGCTGCGACAGCCTGCAGCCAATCAGCGAAGGAGCAGCGTCGATTGGCCCCGAGCTCTCGCGATGCTGGTGACAAACTCACGCGGTTCTAGCAGTGGAGAATCGACAGGGAGCACGAGGCGAACAAAAGGGCGGCGATCAAGTGAGCGGATCGCCACACATCTTTCCCCCACATGAATATTCTGCATTACTCTGCACTTTGGACTTTGTATGATGTAAGTAGCGTGTGAAAAGACGGGCGATTTTGAGATTTATTAGTGTTGTTAAATATATCTTGTTTGCTATAGAGTGGCACCTCCAAAGGGCCAGCGGGGACTAGATTTGGGGGTCCGGCAGTTGTTACTGGGAGTGCGCATTCGTTGGAAGTGCCAACATTGGGGTGTGGTGGCACGCCTAGGTGGGGGTTCCCGCCGCGCCAGCCACCTACGCCCTCTCCTGCCTCCGGCCTCCTTGCCTCCGTCTTGACACCAGATCCGGGTTGGAGGGGAGGAGGGAGTGCGGTAGATGCTGCGAAAATCACCGTTCCTGCTCCCGCCCTGTTGTGGAGCAGACAGTGGATAGACAACTGCGGTCGAACTGTCGTTTGTTATGGAGGGAGAACGACAAGATTACTCGATTTGCCCCGGGTCGCCTCCTCTAGCCCTGCCGTTTCCGACTTGCAGTCCTACTGGCAGCTAACTAATATCCTAGAAAATGCATTACTTAAGCAGTACAGTAGGTGAGCTAACTCATAAAATGTCGACCGAAATTCTGAAATGCGCTTTCGACTTGAAAAGATTAATTAAGAAGGGTTGTAAAACTAAGCATCGTGCAGCATAATTCTATAATAAATCAATTACCTTCAGGATGCTGCATGCAAAAACCTATAATCCGTAACAAGTACTAGTTAACCAGCATGCATTTTTCTCATTGATTTCCGATGCCCTTAACAAGTCAATTATATTTCATAGCGAAAATGCATAGAAATACTAGCTCGTTTGCTCAGTCTGCAGAAAATTACGTCTGTTTCCAATTTTGTACTCGAAGGTAAGGCATAATTCGGTTTTCAAAAACTTTTGCAATTCCCGAATAATTTCGAACCCGACCTGCCATTAAAGTTGGATTCAGGGTTTCCAAACTGCAGGCCGTATATTTTCCACGTACCGAAAACCATAAATTTCTCCACGGTATTGAGAGGAGACCGTGTGGGGTTCAGAAAATTTAGCAGGGGATTTGAGCCATATATTTAACTTTACAAGCCACACTGGTAAATGCAGAAACATGGCCTTTTATGAACGGCTATTTCACGATATTAAAAAATCTCACAATTAGAATCTTTCTTAAAACCCAATCGTACCTTTCCTTCGTGCATAAAGTTGAAAGGAGGCGTAATTATCTACCAATTGAGCTAAAGAATGAACATTTTTATGCATGTTTTCCACGAAATATAATTGAATTTTTAAGGGCATCAAAAATCAATGAGAAAAATTCATGCTATTTAAATAGTCATTGTTTACGGAGTTCAGTTTACTATGCATCCGGAAAAGATTTCATTCGAAAGCCGGCATCCTGAGGTAACTGAAATATTATAGAATTATATCACAGGCTGACTAGTTTTATAACCCTACTAAATTAATCTTTTCGAAACCGAAACGCATTTCGGAATTTCGGTTGACATTTCATGAGTTAACCCACTTACTGTACCATTTGACAATTGGCATGCGGGTGGAATGAACCATATTTTTGTCACCATCCAAGCTCTCTGGTGTTTAAATAGTCTGCGAGAAGACTTTAAGGCAGCAAGAATCACGTTATTTGAGAACAGCCGTCTAGAATGAGCATAAATGCGGAACCTGGACGTATTGTCTGCCACGGATGCCGGTTATACATTTATGCGGAAACATCCACTGGCAGACCTGTTCACGTAAGGACGAAGCACGCCACAGATGGAAAGAGCCTGATATTCAACTACTACTAAAGTCACATCAGTATCCGCTGCCCTTGGCAGCCAGTCCTTCACTGATAGTTCGGCGGTCAGTTCTGACGATGTCCACCGTGGGCCCCACAGCACGGCGGCATCAGGCACTGTGCCTTGCGCGTGGATTAGCTTGTGGTGACGTCAGACTTGCGCTGCATCTACCGCACTCCCTTCTCCGCTGCCAAGAAAAATTCAGGAAGACCGAAGACGGCAAGTGACCGGCGTGTCGTGAGCCGGCACATAGGCGTGTCACTAAAGTCTCTGGTCTATGCACAAAAGATCAGGATTTCAACAGAGCGTCTTTCCCGCTCAGCACCGTTTGGTTGTTCAGCCCGCATAGTTTCCTGCCATTAATTCTGGCTAAAGAATTTTATATAAGCTCATGGGTGATGGGGTTTTCGTTTATGGCTCTTCTAAATACACCGTCCAAGTGTGGATTTTTTGTGGCACGTAATGAGCAAACCGAATCTGAAAGCTTTTCCTTATCAGCCAGTCTCTTCATGGTGCCCTAGGAGGAGGCAACGAGTTACAAGTGAAGTATTTATAGAATTAACGCTTTGGCTGACCCGGTTAATCCTTTCTTCCTCATCTGCAAACTAAAACCAGAAAGGTTTTGGAAATCGAACTTATGAAGACACTCCTAATGCGAAGTGGGTTTTGTGTGGTTTCAGTATGACCTTATGCTGTCGTAGTATATCTTTCATTTGTTTGTTTGTTATCGTCTGCTTCGGTAATAGTAGTACTGGCAACATGCTATCTTAATGCTTTTTTACTCTTCACATTCCCCCTCGAAGAAATAACATACTTTCCAGTTCGGCTTGTTTTTTGTTTTTTAACGCACCCGATTGTTTGCATACATATCATTCAGGTGATTTTCAAAATAAACTGTCGTTTTGCAGTCCATCGTAGTCGTAGTTAAATGAAGACGGCGGATATCGTTGACAACTGCGGTCAAACTGTCGTTTGTTATAGAAGGAGTACGACGGGACTAATCGTTTTTCCCTGGGTCGCCTCCTCTAGCCCTGCCGTTTCCGACCTGCAGTCCTAGTGGCAGCTAACTAATATTCTAGAAAATGTATTACTTAAGCCGTACAGTAGGTGGGCTAACTCATAAAATGTCGACCGAAATTCTGAAATGCGCTTTCGACTTGAAAAGATTAATTAAGGAGGGTTGTAAAACTAAGCATCATGCAGCATAATTCTATAATAAATCAATTACCTCAGGATGCCGGCTTCCGAAAGAACTTCTTCCCGGTTGCATGCAAAAAATTATAATCCGTAAAAATTACTAGTTAACCAGCATGCATTTTTCTCATTGATTTTCGATGCCCTTAAAAAGTCAATTATATTTCATAGCGAAAATGCATAGAAATACTAGCTCTTTTGCTCATTCGGTAAAAGGTTACGTCTGTTTCCAATTTTGTACTCGAAGGAAAGGTATAATTCGGTTTTCAAAAACTTTTGCAATTCCCGAATAATTTCGAACCCGACCTGCCATTACAGTTGGATTCAGGGTTTCCAAACTGCAGACCGTATATTTTCCACGTACCGAAAACCATAAATTTCTCCACGGTATTAAGAGGAGACCATATGGGGTTCACAAAATTTAACAGTGGATTTGAGCCATATATTTAACTTTACAAGCCACACTGGTAAATGCAGAAACATGGCCTTTTATGAACGGCTATTTCACGATATTAAAAAATCTCACAATTAGAATCTTTCTTAAAACCCAATCGTACCTTTCCTTCGTGTATAAAATTGAAAGAAGGCGTAATTATGTACTAAGTGAGCAAAAGATTGAATATTTTATGCATGTTTTTCCGGAATATAATTGAATTATTAAGAGCATCATACATCAATGAGAAAAACGCATGCCAATTAAGTAGTCACTCTTCACAGAGTATATTTTTCGCATGCAGCTCGAAAAAAGTTCGTTCGAAAGCCGGCATCCCGAAGCAGCTGAATTTTTACAGAATTAAGCTGCAGAGTGCTTGCTTTTGCAACCCCACTTAATTAATATTTTCAAGTCGAAAACACATTTCGGAATTTCGATCGACATTTCATGAGTTAGCCAACCTAAAGTACCATCTGACAGTTGGTATGTGTGTGAAGTGAACCATATTTTGGTGCTATCCAAGCTCTCTGGTGTTTAAATGAACCACGATCAGAATTTAAGGCAGCAAGAATTATATTATCCACGAATTACCGTCTACAGTGAGCATAAATGAGGGTCCTGGAGGCATTGGCGTCCACAGATGCCGGTTATACTTTTAATGCGGAAACATCCACTGGCAGACCTGTTCAAGTAAGGACGAAGCACGCCACAGATGGAAAAAGTCTGATATCAAACTACTACTGAAGTCACATCAGTATCCGCTGCCCTTGGCAGCCAGTCCTTCACTGATAGTTCGGCGGTCAGTTCTGACGATGCCCACCGTGGGCCCCACAGCATGGCGGCATCAGAGACCGTGCCTTGCGCGTGGATTAGCTTGTGGTGACGTCAGACTTGCGCTGCATCTACCGCACTCCCTCCTCCGCTGCCAAGAAAAATTCAGGAAGACCAAAGACGACAGGTGGCTGGCGTGCCGTGAGCCTGCACATAGGCGTGTCACCAAACTCTCTGGTCTATGCACAAAATATCAGGATCTCAACAGAGCGTCTTTCCCTCTCAGCACCGTTTGGTTGCTCAGTCCGCATAGTTTCCTGCCTTAAATTCTGGCTAAATAATTTTATATAAGCACATGAGTCAGGGGGTTTTTGTTTATGGCTCTTCTAAATACGCCGTCCAAGTGTGGATTTTTTGTGCCACATTATGAGCGAACTGAAATGAACCGAATCTGAAAGCTTTTTCTTTAGCATCCAGTCTCTTCAAGGCGCCCTTAGGAGTAGGCAGCGAGCCACAAATGAAGTATTTCTAGAATTACCGTTTTGGCTGACCCGGTTAATTCTGTCTTCCTCATCTGCAAACTAAAACCAGAAAGTTTTTGAAAATCGAATTTATGAAGACACTCCTAATGCGAAGTAGGTTTTGTGTGTTTTTAGTATGACCTCATGCTTCTTTGTTATCGTCTGCTACGGTAAAACTAGTACTGGCACCAGGTTATTTTAATGCATTTTTACTCTTCACATTCCTCCTCGGAAAAATAAAATACTTTCCAGTTCGGCTTGTTTTTTGTTTTTTAACGCATCCGATTGTTTGCATACATATCATTCAGATGATTTTCAAAATAAACTGTCGTTTTGCAGTCCATTGTAGTCGTATTTTAATGAAGTATCCCATTCAGTGGGGAAATGGCCCTGCAATTTTGGTCGAAAGGCCCGAATTAATCAGGCTGGTCTAAAATGTCGATTGGACACGGGAAGACAGACCCCCGTAGAACAGGCGACCTTTCTCTAAAGTTATGGCTGGACTTAGTGCTGAGGTAAGGAGGATTAGGGCTATGATTGGATTTATGATGGTTAGGATTGACTAATAGAGTTATGGTTGGACTTAGTGCTGAGGTAAGGAGGATTAGGGCTATGATTGGATTTATGATGGTTAGGATTGACACATAGAAACGAATAAGCGAGTTCCAGAAAGAAGTCGCGAAGAAGGATACACGATTGACGGAGCAAGAGCTTTAGAAGCATGACGTTTCGGATTCCCACTTGAGTCTATTATCAGAGACAGAGTCAGATAAGGGAAGTGGGGGTAACAATCGGGAGATGACACCCAAAAAAATCCGTCCAACCTAAGCAGCCTGATTCTCAAGTCTGATGAAGTCCATTAGATTAGTTTATATCGCATACGCACCATAGCGGTGGCTCCGCAGCTGTGTATCCGGATGTCCATGTTAATAATGGAAGGGTTGGTCCACAGACATTATTTCGCAATTATCCTTAACTATGCCTGTTTAGATGTGGACGCTAGCATATTGTAATTTATTTTACCGTAGATTAAACCGGATAAAGACAACTACGGTTACTGCTCACCTCATGGGGGCAATAGTCAAGAATGATAGTGTTAGTGTAGGTCTACAGCGATCGTTTCTGTACTATCCTAAGGTATGCGTGGTTAGATTTAGCTGCAACCCCACTACTGCTGTCACTCGTCAGCCGTGTAAGCCTAGGCCAAGATAGATTAACTATGGCTCGGTCTATAGAGATCGCATCTCAACTGTAGGTCAGCTGAAACTGAGCTCGGGTAAAACAACAAATAACTAGGACTATAACCTACTCAAATAGATATAGTAGGCAACGGATATTTGGGTGCCATCTCCCGATTGTTGCCGAAGTGGGTTGCCCAAGTGTTGCAGTATTTTTAGGACGTAGTTGCTAGGCCGCCAGATGCCTATCAGAGTTGGCAGCTCTAGAGTGCATCACGGCTTGACTGGCCGGGTGTTGACGTGTGCATTTTTTCGGCTCCCCATTAATCAACAAGCGCAACCACCTCCCCCCTCCATCTTCGGTGCTGAGACTTTGCCTCGGCAAAGTAGCTAGCCACTCGGACAGCGTGCGGGTGAGCACTGTTCCCGGCGATAATGTCAACGAGCCAAACTGCCCAAGAGTCCGCACGGATGATGAAATCCGGCAGTCAGCCTTGCGTGCGGTGACCATGGCAGCCGATAATTTTGGCCGGCACACAGACGCATAGCAAGGGCGCAGCAACTGCATACTTCAACGCCTGACCACTCGAACTGTGATGCACTCGGGAGTTGCCAACTGTGATAGGCATGTAGCGGCCCAGTAAATACATCCTGTAAATACTGTAACACCTGTGCAATCCACTGCCCTTATCTGACTCTGTCTCTGAGGATGGATTCGAGTGAGAATCCGAAACGTCGGGCTAATAAGACTCTTGCCCCGGCGATCGCGTCTCCTTTTTCGCAATTAGCGTTGGACTTAGGGCAGGGAGGGTCAGGGTAAGTGTTAGGATTAGTTAACTTAGCGCAATACCGCTTGTAATACTCGGAGAGGGGGGAACGGTGTCCACTTTCTCTTCTCCGACCAAAATGTTTGTCAGACTGCATATAAACAATTAAGAGTTCAGATATGACAGGGAGGAGGTCATTCCGGATTCCCTATAGCTGTTGGCGCCTCCTCTCTGTTCCTTGTTCTGGTTATTTTCCAACGATTCTCGGTTCCATTAACTGTGTAAACTCCGAAAAGTCTGTTAAAATGCCATCTTTTAAGGAGCGGTCTAAAGCGGATGCTTACATGAAGTGCATGTCAGAGTTTGACGGTGGATAACGGAGGAGGGTGGGGACGGTCGGTACCCTAGTCGGGAAGGCAGAGGTAGCAGGACAACCTTTACCGCACTGCAGGGGAGCGTACAAACGGCTCAGAAGGCGCGTGGGCAGTTGTCCAGTCAAACGGGTAGTCAGTCGCGCGCCCGGGCTTTGTCCGACCGCGACCAATCGTTGAAAAGAAAAAATATCAACAATCGTCAGGGTGTCGGCGAGCCGAAGGCTGGGTCATACAGGGCGCAAGCAGTCTCAACTGGCAAAGGGACTCGGCCGTCGGGGAGACTGTTGCACGCATAATTTTCCTCAGAATCTTGTATTTATGGCTCAATACTGACATCACCTAAAGTCTTGTCGCATTTAATCCGAACGAAAGTAGATACCGATTGATGGGTATTGTCTGTTCTGGATGTAAGGCAATATTGGTTGCACTCAAAATTCAATTTCTCTATATTTATCATTATCATGGATTATAACGTGTCTCTTTTATTCATTTCTCTGTATTTGATTAACTACTCACCAGCAAACCACTTCCTAATTTCTCAGCTGATTTCCTAGTAATTAGTGAGTAAGTGTTGCGCGAATTACTATTCTATCATTGTTTTTTCTATTATAAACACTTCTCGTTCCGTTTTTTTTTAATATCCCGAATGTCAATCAGAGTGAAAAACAGAAGCTTTTAAAAGTGTCCTGATATCTCTGTAGCCTCAGTTTGCAGTATTGCTATTTACTGTTTTAGGGCACATGGAGAAGGTTTAACACATTTCGTGTGTTCGGGACAATCATATGAATGCGAAATGGGGAATACTGTTTCCCGCGTAGGCGATTACTTTTTGGAAGGTCCTTCTAGGAAGTCGGGATGCGTTACCTAAGCCTTAACTGATTTTGAAATTACACAGGTCAGACTGAACGCACGTTCAAATGGCGCATACACGAGCCTAAACTGGCTGTGCGAAGGGGCGGCAAATTATCTCAAGTGGCCGCCCACACCTTTCTAAACGGGCCACGAAGCCAATTTTGCAGCCACTAAGATAACAGCTCGTGCTGGAAGTCAGGCGGGCTGAGAGTTGAACGAAGCCTGAGCCTCTGACCAGAACGCAGCCGGTCGATATATTGATCTGGCACCCGCATGCAGATTCCTACTCAGTCACTTCCACACCTGCGACACTGGTCGTTGATTGACTAATGACCTCCCCTTGTAGGTATCGCCTGTTCCGTCGCCGCTTTTACCACTGACGGTGAGTTTCTGTACGTGGACGAAATCTCAGAAGAAAATGAACAAATAGTTCCGGACCTCAATCAGCCTTCTGTCTCCCCGCCCAAGCTCGGTTCACTTCGAGAAGATCCTGGGGTAAGATCGCAGTTGGTAGCCAAACATTATACGTTGATACTGTCGACGTACGTACTTGTTATCGGTAGGTGTGCTTACCTTTTCTAGGGAACTTGTTATTAGTCGGTGTGCTCTTACTGAGTTAGGCAGGTCGTCCGTTTCGGTCAGGCTGTTGGGTTTAGTGAGAGTTAGGGTTAGGCGTAGGTTAAGTTTTAGGATGAGGGTTTGCGTTTTAGGGTCAGGTTTCAGTGTTAGGGTCCGTTAGGTTCCTGTTAGGGTTACGGTTAAGGTTAGGATTAGGGCTAGGTTTAATGTTAGGGGTAGGGTTAGGGCTAGGGTTAAGGTTAGGGTTATGGCTAGGTTTTGGGTTAGCGTTGGGTTTAAGGATTTTGGTTACATTTCGGTTTTGAGTTTTAGGGTTAGGCTTTACGGTTGCGGTCATGGTTGGATCTTAGGATTAAGCCTAAGGTTTAAATTTCTGCCATTATTCCACCTACTTCAAACTTCCCAGTACTTTCCCAGGTAACTTTACTTTTACTCAGAAACTCCAGCATTCCTCTACCAGCCCTTCCATTTACCCCACCCATACAACCCCCCCCCCCTCTCCCACCATTTCCGTACGACAGGTACCTGGCTGTCCGCCTCCCCATCGCTGGTTACCGACTGCGATCTAACCGATCCTTGAAGGCAGGCCTATTTCTTTAGGTGTCCTCTCCTGCGAAACAGGCTAGTTTGATACCAGCCAGTGTGATGGTGCATAAGTCTACATCGTAGTGTCACAATTTGGAAATGAATCAGTACTGTCTACGTAGCGGTGCCAGTCTTGTCAAAGGATTATTATCGGAAGAGTGGGTGTAAAGAGGTGCGCTTACGTACTTGTTCACGCAACTGCGCACTTGACTGTAGAGTAATTTTTTTAGGCAGACGGAGACTGACGGAAATAATAGCGACCTTGCAGACACAGACTCGTGACATTTGTGCGCTTCAAAAGCATTACATGCTAATCATCTTGAGTGTTCTATTGCGAGCCCGGTGCGGGGACTCAAAAAAACTGCAGGCTGACTGCAATGTGCCTCTCGGGAGGGCTCAGACCGACCTTTAATACCAAGCCGGGGCTAGGGACTAATACCGAAATTGCAAGCTGTAATTCGCGTGACCAGCTTTGCCGTCCGCCACGGCGCGCCCGCTGCCACTCACCGCAGACCCTGTTTCTGGCATCAGCGTTTTCACGCGTGCATGGCATGGCCTACGACTGCCAAGGTCAAAAAGTCTTATTGGAGAGAGGAGAGAGAGAGAGGGGGGGAGAGTGAGGTCTAGTCACGAAGCCGCACCATCCAGGCCCTGGCGGACGAGCCCATCCCTTAGACGTTAGTCAGTGGTGGAACAACGGCATCCAGGAATTGGTGGCACATAATCATCGTCATCATCACCACCACCACCGCCACCACCATCACCAGCACAACCACCCTCATCGCCATCAACAACAACAGCAACGGCCCCCAGATGAAGATCGGTGCATTATGCCGAGACCCAACTTTTAACTGTTATTATTATTATTACGGCTAAATGGAATTGACGTTTAAGAACAGAACAAGAGCTGCATTATAATGACCTGTGACCGCGTCGGTGCATGGATGACTAATTATCACTAGAGAAGCCTTTGAAAGTGGATTTCTTGAATATTGTCGATTGATATTGGCATAATCCTCTTTGTCAGGAGGCCGCTCACCGATCGGTTTACGGAATTCATTCGTCCTGTTGTGCCTTAGGGCTCTCTCCCTCGAGCTCGACCAGTAGCCGCACAGCGGCGCATTATCTAGGCAGTATGTTATTACCGACAAAGACACGGGAGACTGGAATGGCTATTTCTGGCCTATTAACCGTCGTCAGCCAGTCACGCCCAATCCCGAAGTGCGCAACATCTGGGGCTCGATCCCACCACCTGTTGATTAGAAGTCCAACGCATCTAGCTACTAAGGCACGGGCTCGTTGTCCTGTAGGTTGCGATCGGGAATATACAGTGGTAGAGGGGCGCTCACCAAGCGTTTGTACGGCACTCACTCGTCCCGTTGTGCCTTGGATCGCCCTCGGGCCCCTCTCTCGAGTCTAACGATGTTGCCGGCTGCTTACCAGAGAATGCTCGCGAGGCGCTAGAAGGAATGCATGCGGACAATGCATGAATTAGATGTCGCGAACGAAATTCTCAAGGGCGAGTGGAGGCGGAAGCAACCAATCTTGACAGGGTAACCGAAAAATTGTAGCAGAACTTATTGATACTAAATGCTGCTTGTAACTTCATAGCCTGTTGAAGAAACGAGAAGCATGAAGCAAGTAGTGGAATTTCCTCAAAAAATCACTACGAAAACGGCAAGCTCACGGTACATTTCCCCTCAGTCTGATCGAGGAAAAGGGGTAATAGGTGTTTTTGGCGGATCTGATTTATTCATTTGACCCGGTTGTGAGAAACTCGGCAGTCTCGATGGAATTCGAACCTGGTAGTCATCTGGAGGGGGGGCAACTTGTTCTCTCCCTCCTCAATCGTAAATTGTATGTCCGGGATGACCGCATTCAGGTGTTCCTTGAATGTCAGTAGCTGATCCCGGTCGATAACGACGAAGGTGTCATCCACACACCGGGCCCAGCATTTCGGTATGTGGTTTTAGAAGACCAGCGACTCTAACCTTTGCAGGACCGCCTCGGCGATGAATGCCGAAATCGGCGAACCCATTGGTGTGCCCTTCACCTATTTGTAGATTGTCCCGTCGAACGTGAAGTACTTCCTGAGACAGAATTTCAGGAGTTGAAGAACATGGACGTGTCCAAGACAATTCTCCGTTTCATCGTATTTGCTTTGTAGAAGCTGCTCGATTGTTTCAACCCCAGAACCTGGCGATCGGGCAACTTGACCCAAATTAGATTTACCTCACGGCTCTCGATGGTGCCTGATAGCTCAGGTGGTTAGAATGTTGGCTCCACTCAAGCCTTACCCTTGCTGTCTTTGATCCGAATTCCACCGAGGGCGCTGTATTTTTGACAACTCCGCCAAATGACAAAGGGATAACTTCAAAAAAACATAGTAGATGAAGCAGAGACACAAAGGGTGTGTAAATTAAGCTCAGATTGACCACGCTGTCTAGTTGTTTTCACAAGCCAGGTTTCCCCCTTCGTATATAAGCTGCCTCAAGGTGGTTCAGTGTCTGAGTTGTTTCTGCACGAAAAAGTACTAGGAAGGTTGTTTTGAGTCAGCAGAGCGACCACTACAAAGGATTTTGTTTTCCAAACGGTTTTTGGTGCAGACCTTAGGCAGTTGAAAGTTCACACGACAGATAAACGTTTACAATGAGACCTGCTTTAACCGCCGGTACTGCAAGCCTGTGTCGGATCTTCAGTCTCGATGCGACTGAGTCCGCAAATGAATCGATACACTATTTCTCCTGATTCCAAAGGCCAGCACAATTTTAGCCTGAGTGACCGTTCTGTCGGAATCGTAATGTAGATCTTGTAGACCTCGTGGAAACTTAAAAAGTACATCAACATGATATCATGCCGTTGGAACCGAAAGTAATTTTTACAGGTAGTGTCATGTATGCATAACAGAAGGTTAGATGTAAACAGGACGTGTACTGAGTATGAGAGGCAGCACAAGTGGGCAGGCTTGCCGGAACGGCTAGGTATATGGCAGGGGGGAACTTCATAGGCTGAAGGGTGGCCAATTAGCACAAAGGTCCGAACAGGGTACATGACCTTGACAGATCGTTTGTCACGCGCATGTGGCATGATGTTCCGACAGCCCGGACAGCATAGGCTGCATCCCTCCACCCCAAAGTGGACAGCATAGGGAGGAGAGAGAAAACACTTACCGTGTCCGTTCGGCTGCGAACTTGGTCCAGATGTCGACGCACAATTCTCCCATCTTCTAACTCTAATCCCACTATTTGCCCTTCGTTTGTTCAAAATACCGCTGGACACCAGTTCGTTTCGTGTTTTAGTCGCGTGTAGACATTTTCGTTCGGCGCGACGTCTCGGTGGTCGAGTTTTCACATCATATGGTGCTTTCATCTTCGTCTGTTTTTCGATGACTATATCATGCGTTGAAGGATTAAGCAGGTCGAGTCGCTTGAACATCAGTTCTGCAGGCGAAACGCTGGTTGGGTCGTTTGGTGTTATGCGATAGCTGAACAGAAAGCGTGACAACTTGGTGGCCGAGCCCGCTTCCGTCTGTTTGGCTAGTCCGCGCTTTATCGTCTGAACTGCACGCTCTGCGAGGCCATTAGAAACAGCGTGGTGCGGAGCAGTGGTTAAATGCCTTATTCCATTTTACCCCGTGAATTCTTTAAATTCTGCACTATTAAAGGCGGGGGCATTGTCTGAAACGACCATTTCAGGTATCCCAAAGTAGAAAAAACAGTTCGCAGCTTGTCGATTGTAGTCAGTGAAGAACAGGAATTTCCTGTCGGAATCGCATCAATCCATTTGGTGTAGGCGTCAACCACCAGCAAGACCATATGGCCTCGGGATGACCCAAAATAATCGACGTATACCCTCTTCAACGGTGAGTCGAGCCAGACCCAAGGCTTCAGAGGCCCCTTCGGTAAGGTCTTCTGCGTTATCTGACACACGTGACATGCTTTCACCAGATTTTCGATGTCTGCGTCAATTTTGGGCCACCAAACATAGCTGCAGGCCAGAGCTTTCATTTCAACTGTACTATGATGAGCATTATGCAGGTCCCTTAGGATGGCCCGTCGGCCTTGTGGTGGTACAACTACACGATTGCCCCATACTGTGCATTCGTTTAGTGGACTCAACTCGTTCTGACGACTGAAGAATAGCTGAAAATCAGTTGAACTTGAGGACAGCCAGCCAGATTGTAGGGACCTTTTTACCCGACTTAAAAGAGGGTCTCTCGATGCCCACTGTCTAATTTGTTGACAGGTTACAGGTGCGTTGACTAGGTTCTGCAAAAGATTCACGGCAGCATGTGCTGCAGATAGAATACCTGGTGGGGAGTGCAATGCGAAGTACTAAACTTTCGCTGCCAGAAAACGGGGTAGGACTGCCTTTTGTTGCCTCCTAATCAGGACCTGAAAACAGGAACCGCATTCGATGCGGGTGGCTTCGAGCCAACTTCCAGTGGAATCAGGGCTACATTTAGGGTTAGGGTCAAGTTTAAGATTAGGTTTTAGGCTAGGTTTCAAGTCGACGGCAACATAAGCCAAGATCAAGTTTTGGGTCAAGGTAGGAGTTAGTGTTAACTACAGTGTTATGTTTTGGGTAGGGTTAGGACCAAGACTAGGGCAACTGTTTAATTTTGTATTAAGGTTATTGTTGGTGTTATGATACGGTGATATTTTGTCCTTTCCGGAATTATACGCAGATCCACCTTTACTACTTGGGCGGACGTACCTGTTTCCATGTCCTGTTTAGGGGGGCCACATAAGTCAGCCCCACCGAGGAAGGTTGCTCGTCGCATGAGTCAGACTATCGGTATATTTTCATGCCTGACGGCTGGGCTTAAAATTATGCAATGGTAGCTCACTCAGACGTTTGATAAGCCTTCTGTAGTGTCCTAGACTGTTGTTGCGGTTTGTGGAAGGTTCCTCGTACTCTGAAGGCATCCCGTCTCAGACTGCAGAAACCAAGTACGTCTGGTCTCCCGAGGGATTACGGCACCCCTCCCCCTCCCCCTGCGTACGCATCAGTGTGTGTGTGTGGCTCCCAAAACGGGTAATGCGGGCGATGCACTGGACCAACATGGAGACCGCACTGGATTCCGACAGGCGTTGTCGGCGATGCTCACCCAACATTCGGGGTGTGGTGGCATGTCCAGTTGCCGGTCCATGCCCCGTCAACTGGGATTCTTGCCGCCCCACCCCCCTCCATTATTGTTGTTGGTTAAAATCCTAGTCAAGCGTCAGTTGTGGACCAGGGAGCATGGAGTGGTAAGCCTAGGTGCAGGTCCGGCCGCGGCATCTGCCTGCGCCCTCCCTCACCCCTGATCTCCTTGACTCTGTCTTGACACCGGACCCAGGTGGGGGAGGAGGATAGAGCGCGGCAGTTGCAGCGCAAGTCTACTATCGTTATAAAAGAAATCGCACGCAAATCATCTCGCCTGCTCCCACCTCGGTGGGAATCGCCGGGCAAGACGGTCGGACTGACGTGTAAATCAAAGACCTGAACTGGACTTAATGGGCATTGGCGCTGAAAAAACGCCATTTTCTCCGTAGAAATAAGTCACGATACCGCGTGACCAAAGAAGTCATATGGGCTTTTGCTATTCATTGATGCAGTGACTTGTTCAATCGTGTTTACACCCGTCGTGGTGCGTTCGTTGCTTTCACAATGACCATGTGTGAGCGGCCTTCTTCAGCGGAGTCAGGAAGTGAGCGAGTGTTTATCTAGGAGGACTAAACAGACGCATATTATTATTATTAGTCACAAACCGCTCATCTCAGAGACCTCGTCGAGTTCAGTCAGCCAAAAACGCGAGATCCCGAAGCTAAAGTCAGGAGGTGGAAGATGACTAGCAACATTTTTTACGACCGGCGTGCAATCGGTCGATGAATAAACGGTGGGGAACAATAATCACCTGAGCCAATCAGTTACGTGGAAATTATTGATTACTGTGGTCATAGTCGTGTGCATCAGCAGGGCCTGACGCGCGTGAGCGCTGCGCGGCCATGCGGTGAGGTGAGTTTGAAGACTGGGCCCAAAGCTGCAAATGAAGTGTGCTGTAGCCCAGGGTTCTGACTTTCCTTCTTCACGAGGCATGTATTAACGAGTGTGCAAATAGGGAGAGTAGGCTGGACCGCCAGTTTTTTGGCTTGTTTGCCATCATCAGTGGCCTGGTGCGCACCAATTGCAGTCTTGTTCTCGGCAAAGCGCGTCTGTCCAAACTGGCCAATCATCTTCGAATCTGACTCAGACATGACCTTGCTGAGGGCGCTACACGACCGTCCCCCCCTGTCTCACACTCACGGACGTCAATCTCGCAGCGTCGAACGCGCCCTTGTCCAACTGCCAACTGCTATCAATTATGCGCAGGTTCACCTTTACCACTTGGGCGGGACGTACCTATTCCCATGTTCTGTTTGGAGGGTCACATACGTCAGTCCCACCATCCGCCCTTACTCTAATCCCAGTGTCTGCGAGACTTTCTGTTGGCAGAAACTATTTAACTTTTCTGGCCGAAAGACTGCCAGACCAACAATACCTTCTCATAAGACAGCCATGAAATCCTATGCGTTCGTATCGGCTTCAACCGACTGAAAAATTCTTCACTTTTATTTCAAGATGGACTGGTAAACGGACAAAACAATTGCTCCCAAACTCAACGAGTCTACGCGCGCGCCATGACATGAAAAAGATTATTTTCAGAAAGGCCGGAGGCTTTTATCAAAATTTTTTACTTTGATACTATCCCAGCAAAGCGGATGATCGTTTAGCTTGCCCCTTGTCATAGCACTTGTACACTCGCACACTTCATTGAAGGCGCCGGACGACTGTCTTAAACTTGCAGAAACGGCGTCGGGCGGGCCCTCGTCCGACTGCCAACTCCTACTAACCTCGAACTGTTCTGTACAGAATACAAGATCCTTCCGCCTGCCTTCTGCCTTCCTCTTTGGAATTGGGTCTGATGGTCGTAGTAGTGGCTGGAGTCTTCCTATGGCCTAAGCCACTGTGATATATTCTCTTGTCATGGGAAGGGCGTTTAACGATCGCAGCCGATGGGGCAATGAGGCCGTGGTAGAGCAGTAGAGCATTGGAATCATGGAACCTTAAAAGCCCCTCAGCAACCACGACTTAGGCCATGGGGGAGCGTGGGGAGCCTTGCTTGTGTCGGCTGAAGTCGTCAGGGGTCATCACCAGCGTCAGAAGATGCTTACACCGATCAGGTTACAGGATCTGCTCATCCATTTGGAACTCAGAGCTCAGTTTGGAAGCGTTACAGGCGGAAGCATAGTCGCCGGCAAGGATACGAGGACAAGGACAAAGGGAACTGCAGCGATCGTTTCTGGCATGCCAGCCATCTTCAACCACTCTCACCCGTTCCCGGGTTTGCAGAACTTGGGATTCGATTCCTGATTCTTCGGTCATTGGAGGCTATCAAGTCGCACGTTCTACCACTGAGCCAAGGGGCCAGCTGTCCCGTTGGTTTCGACTGAGAATACTTGTGGTGGCCCAACTCCGCGCGCATTACGCAACGCGGAGTCTATCGCGACTACTTATACGTGTGCACCAATGGCAGTTCGGTTCTGGGCCAGTTCCGGCTGGCCAAACCGATCAGTCGTCTTTGAGGCTGACTCAGACATGACCTCGCTGAAGGTGCTGGTCGACTATCTGACAATCGCGGACGCCGTTCCGTCGGCATCGGACGTGCCCTCCTCCGACTGCCAACTCCTACCAACCTCTGGTAGTTCTATACAGAATACAACATCCTTCCAACTGGCGTTCCACTTGTTCCCTTCCTATTAGGAACTGCGTCTGCCTATGGCTTAAGCCGCCGCACAAAAATTTCCAGTAGAACAGCATAATCCCTAGCCCTCCCCCCACAACATTTGACTCTACCTGGCCAAGCTGCATCTTTATCCAACTCGGTGTCATGTGCACATACAACAGAGATTAACAGCGCATATTATTAAGTTTGCCAATGTTAGTTGGTATGACGGACGAAATCCAGCACGTGAGAAAGTACACATCTCACTCGCGTGAAAAGCATGTATGTGGTGGCGTACGTGGCGGGGACCTGATCATGTGCCACGCATAGGCGCACTTTCAATAGCCGCACCTTATTTCGTCCCCTGTCAGCCCTACTCGGTCGAGAGACAGAGGGAGGTCAACATTGCGGACTCTATCCTCACGGCCCGAGTCTCTCACGACGCGTCAGCAGTAGTGGCTTGGAAGACCCCAATGAGTCAAAAAGAAGAAGTTTGCTGGAACACCGGAACCATTTGTCCGAGCTTCAAAACGCGCACAGGAGCCCATCGCCAGAGATAAAAGCAGCGACAGAACAGGCCGCATTTATGGGTCGGTACTTGTCAATTAACGACCACTGCCGGGGGTTTGGATATGGCTGCGTTCTCACCCGAGACCCAGGCTTCGGTCGATTCAATCAGTAAATCCGGCGTGGGAGATTATCTCGGGGACAGCAAAGTTGAACTCGTGATAGGTTTTCAAGGTATGGGCAGCCACTTGCAATAATTCGTCGCCTCGTCGAACACCGTCAAATAACGGGATAGATCGGTCGGCAAGGTCCTATTTAGTAGCCGTATCTGTTAGGGGTTGGGGTTAGTGTTTAGGTGTTAGGGTGGGGCTCGTCTACTTCAGGTACGGCTACGAAATAAGATCCAACCAATCGGTCCTTCTCAAGATCGAAAGTCGGGCTGCAATTTCTCCCGCTTAATATGGCGTTGGTGGCGTCCTCCTCGAGGCGAGGTCTGGAACCCACCTTCAAAGTTATCTCGGTGCATGCGCAGTAGGAACCAGGTCGTGTGTGTGGTACGCGTAGACGGAGTATTGATTTTTGTTGGCCACTGCGCCCGGGCCCATCAGCGGTCGTTTTGACTTCGTCTCGCCATCGGAGCAAGGTGGGTGCGTGAGGGGGAGGGCGTGAGGTAGATGCACCGAAAGTCTCTACCACTATAAGCAAAGCCGTGCACAAGCCGCTGTTGTTGTATCCATTTCGAGAGGAGTGGTGGACGTCGGTGTTCGCAGAGGTCGAACTCCCATAACGACTTTCAGCAGACTAGGCCACATGGGAGATATGGACATTTTGTCCACGACATTACAGAGAGGATGCATTCACGTAGACCCTGACAATACAAACTGCTAATAAATTCTACCCCCCTGTTTCGACCCAATTTTGCGACATTAAAAGACAGCCGAGATCGTAAAACCTTCGACGTAACTGGCGGCTACGCGTGGGAGGAAAGTGTTCAGTGACTAGCTGTTACAGTACTTGAGTTGGGTTTGATTGCTAACATGTCCTAACGAGCTTGGGACTTTCAAACCGCCACTGTTGCAACGCAGGCGATAAATTATTTTGGGGAGTTAATATAACTTAATAAAAGTCATTTTGTTGAATTTAAACAACAGCTTGTTGGGTTCCCGATTCTTCAGTTGTCGCGCACAGAAACCGCCAAAATTCAACGATTCCTGACGTCCCAATTCCTACACGTCCTAACTACCAGTATCCCCGTAAAATACGCAATCATGGGGAATGCAGCAGATGTAGTAACTCATGAAGTGTCCTGAGTTCAATAAGAAAATCCGTCCACGCTGCAAAATGTTACCAATCTGCATCATTTTAAGAGGGCTCACTAAAGGACGTAGTTTACGAGGTATGCGTCCGCTCAGCCATTATCACGGACCAGGAAGTCCATCTTCCTAAAAAGGGCGCCCTCAGAAATATCACAATATGTAACGTTGTCGGGATGGTAGGGAAACGGTCTGCTCTTGCCTGCGACACGCCAAGTCAGTCCAGCGGGGGGTACGAAATAGCTACCGTCTGTTACAGTAGGTGGGCTAACTCATGAAATATCAACCGAAATTTCGAAATGCATTTTCCTTTCGAAAAGATTAACTAAGTAGGGGTGTAAAACTAATCATCCTGCAGCATAATCCTATAATGATCCAGTTACCTCAGGGTGTCGGCTTTCGAATGAACTTATTCCCGACTGCATGTTAAAACCACACTCTGCAAAAAATGACTACTTATGCAGCATGCATTTTTCTCATTGATTTTCGATGCCCCCAAATGTCCAATTATATTTCATGCAAAACTTGCCTAAAATATTCATTCTTTTGCTCATTCGGTAGATAATTACGTCTTTTTCGAATCTGATACTCGAAGGAGGGACATAATTCGGTTTTAAAAAGTTTCTAATTGTAGTACTTTTAAATACCGTGAAATGGCCGTTCATAAAACGTCATGTCTCTGCATTCACCAGCGTGGATTAAAAAGTTAACAATATGGCTCAAATGCACTGCTACATTTTATGAATTCCACATGCTTTCCTCTTAATACCTTAAAGAAGTGTATGGTTTTCCGTACGCGGAGAATGTACGGTTTGTGTTTAGTAACCCTGAACGCAAGGGTAAGGGCAGGTTGGGAAAAAAATTATTCGGGAATTGGAAAAGTTTTTGAAAACCGAATAATACTCATCCTTCGGGTATAAAATTGGAAAAAAGGTGTAATTTTCTACCGAATAAGCAGAAGAATAAATACTTTTATACATATTCTCCACGAAATATAATTGGACATTTAAGGGCATTGAAAATCAATGAGGAAAATTCATGTCACTTAAGTACTCATTTTTCTACAGGGTGTGGCTTTTGCATGCGGCCGCTAAGAAATGCGTTCGAAAGCCGGCATCTCGTGGTAACTAAATTATTATAGAATTACGCTGCATGTGATTAGTTTTACAACCAGACCTAGTTAATCTTTTCGAAACGAAAACGAATTTCGGTTGACGTTTCACGAGTTAGCCCACCTAGTGTACAGTAAGAAAAATACTGTACCACCAGTTAAAAAGACAAGGTTTACAGAGATAGCGGTTGGACGAACTGACATCTACAAGAGAAGCTCCAATATAAATTGTTTGGAGTCGACCATTATGACCAGTCCCACCGTTGTTTTTTGCCGAGCTGAGAACTGGAGTCTCGTCTCCGTATAGGCATCTGGCATCCACATTATGGCATGTTTACAGTCCTCTTTTTTCCTTCCACGTGCAATCGTCAGCAGTGGACCAGACTCTGCGGACCACCCAGACTTGTTAGAATTCAAAGCTCCGCTGTTTTCAAAAAATATGCAAATTCCCGCGTGACGCCATCGCCGATGTGTCTGGCCCGCCGAGGTTATGCCCGCACACTTAACTCACCAAAACTGGGGCTTCCTCAGACGTCAACTCCGAAGAGAACGCAGGCCAGTTTATCGCCAGAGACGAAGTCAGACCGGTAGACACATGGAAATTCACAGTGCCTCCCTCAAGGGTCGGCTGTAAAGACAGTAACTACGAAAGAAAAGGACTCTATCGCCGATCTCTCTTGATTGTAAGACGGAGTGGGAGGGTCCCGCTTGGTCATGCAGCCTCGGTCTAGAATCAACATATGTGGTTACATAGTGAGGAATAAGCAAACATCGGACTATATTCCTGAAAAAGGTGTGGTAGAATAAAATGACCATTTCTGGCCCATTGCTCATCATCAGTCTACCTCCTGAGGAGGTACGGGAAAGAGTTCAGGCTTATGTGGATGCTGAACCCATAGCTTCAAGAAAAAATCGAACGTGTTATGTTCAACAGCCT